TTTTTTGTGTATAACATTTTTATAATTGCAATATATTATAACTTATTGTGACGTTACATATATTATAATATTAAATTAATTCTCATTACATTTGAATTCTCTGGGCTTAATAAACGCACTATCAAAAACGCATTATCAAAAAATCCCAACGTATTGTTAAGGCTAATTGACCGGTCTGGCGAAACCACGTAAAAATCTTCAATCGAATTCTTATTGTCTTTTTCGTCGCGAAGAAACCAGTTCCGGCAGTGAGTTTGCGGTCTGGCGAAGTCCTGGCTTCAAGGAACCGGTGTCAAGTTCGGAGAACAGGAAAAGGTGCCGTGGGCGCGAATTTTTCGACGGCAATTTTCATTGCGCGCGTGCTGCGTGACTTCCGTCAATTAAGGGGGACAAACGATTCCGGGGATCGTCGGAATTTCTAGTAATCCGAGAGGAGCGAGCGCAGTCTCACAGCCGCGTACAAATCATAAACCGCGAGATCCTTATTATACGTTACGAAGAAGCTAAAATGAGCAAACGGTTTATTATAGCTTCATTTCTAAGATCAATTTACGAGCTTTGGATAAAAAAATTTCTTGTGTCCTTTGCGAAGTGTGCTGATGAAAGTGAAGATCCGCAGGAAGATATGCGCGCACAAGAATATTCCTTTTCTTCGTCATTCATCCTGGCATCACTTGGTCACGCAGTGTCAGGGATTCCAACCGCGTAACGTAACGGAGACCAGAGGAAGAGGGGCGTAACGGTTTTTTTCTTTCTCTCTTGCTCTTTCCTCGCTTTCTGGCTTCCTCTTTCCCTCGCTCGTTCCTGCTACTTGTCCCACTTGTGCTCCTCTTTCCCCGTTTCCCCCTTCTTTCGACTTAGCCATATGTTTTGGAATTATTTTAGGATAGGTCCGACGAGCTTGAATCTCATCGCCTACATAATTCTAATTAATTCCTGTTATTGTTTACCTTGAAGGAAACAAGGAAAATTGAAAGTTTCGCGGTAAATTAAACTCGTCACGTCCATGATTTGCAGAAAGGCTACTATCTCGTACAGGCTACCAAATAGTTGTTCAAATATTTAATAATTATGATAAATCAAATCATTTAGCTTCTTTATTAATATCTAGCATTTAATAAAAGTATAGGCTGTCTATAACTTATCAATGTTCTTTTACCTACTAAAAAAATATTACTTTCTGGCAAAAATTTTGTAGATAAGAATATATGCACATTCTACGAAAAAATTCAATTTTGATATATTATGTAGATTTGTATAAATTATTCCAGGAATTAATTACCAACACGTGACGCATGTAGTTCGTAGAAGCAAGCGTCTTGCTTATTAAATGCCAAAGAAATTTCTTCGTGCTGAGTAATCAACTTACAAGATGTAAAACATTAATTGAGTCTGAAATTGATTTATGCTTTATTATAAAGTAATATAAATCACTGCTATTAATATAAAAGAATGAGAATTATTTTACATTATTTGTAATTGATTTTTCATGCTTGTTTGATGTATATCTCTCTGTTGATAGAAAAGAGACACAAAGTAAAGAATTAGCGTTTTTGAGATAATAATGAAAGGAAATCGACTGTAAAGTCTTTGTCTCAAAAAACACAAATTTTTTTACTTGCATCACTTTTCCATCAATGCAGCACTGTATTTAAATCCCATAAACGCGCAAACTCGAATTTGTAAATCACAGTAAAAGCAATTGTAACAAACTCGCTCGTCCATAAAAATGGAGTTGCAAGTAGCAGTAAAAAACCGCAATAATTAAGTACAGAGTAGGGATAAAGTCCGCGTGGCGATCTTTTGCAAGCGTTAATTTCCAAACGGTTCATTGGCTGAGGAGTTGCACTTGGTTTCTTTCTCGCTGAACAGCTCGCGACCGCAGTCATCATTCAATCTCTCGGTATCATTTTATACTTGACTGGCAGTAACGGTCGCGCTTCTGTTTAAGGTTCTTCGTATCTACGTGTCGCAATGTGCTCGGCGTCGATACGCACGCGGTTATCGTCGTCACGGTTTTCGCACCTCCGCGCAGTTTTTTCCGCATTACTCCAACTACTGCACGAGAAGTCGGAGAAACCGAGTTTGAGTTTCGAGATAATGCGCTCTCATTAACGTGCGCATCATCCAATGTTCGTGTTAAATAAGAGTTGCGAAATCATAATTGAGCCTTTCAATTATGGATCAGTTACGTGCAAAGTCTCGCATGAATTTTTCATGTCCGATAATTAAAGTTTACAGATTCAATATTAGTTTCATTTTTTCTTATATACGATATGGAAGTATATATATTTATTTCATTTCTGAAGCGCTCAGAATGTAAAACGTTCAAGGGTCAATTTCTTAAGTTCAGAGATTTCGTTGAACGGATAGATTTACCTCATTGTTCGCGAGTCTACATTGACTCACGTTCAACAATTAAGAGTAATTGTTCTATGTAGTGAAATCTCGCTTTCAGAGCGTATGGTAATTGCAGGCCTCAACTTTCATCGTGCATTTACAGTCGAGTGCCATTACCTGATTCTCGATTCTGTTCGTTTAGAGAAAGAAAGAACTAGAGAAAATTGCGTTTTATCTAATCACGAAAAAACAATGATGGAAACCATGATTTATGCACAATGCCAACAAGCGTTATGGCATAATATAACGTGACCAAATAAAGCCCAAATTATAACAATCGTGTGAGAAAAGATGTATATTTGAATTTTTAAAGAAGCTTTCAGTCCAAAAAAGGTGTTCACTAGTCTGAAATAATTATTATACAAGACTTAAAATCCATATCAATATCGACGGATGCAGAAATTCCATAACGCACGTATATCCTCGCATCCATCAGCATCGTCTTCGTTGTCCTTACGGGAGCGTTGCTCCTCGTCCTATTACGAGCTCGCTCATGCGTGTTCGTTCGCGTGTCGTATCCTCGCTGCGGGAGATTGGCATCTCGCATCTCGCGCGTAACACGCGGCTTCCTCCTAGCCGGAGCACGCGGCTAGGTAAATAGGGACTCGCGTTCGAGAGCTGTACTTAGGATGCACGAAAAGTATGGGGGAACGGCCGCATCGATGTATATACATTACGGCAACCGTAAATCTCCTTCCTCCGACCGATTGATAATTACATCTTCCGGGGGACGTGATTCTCCGATGGCGCGGCGGCCGGCAGAACGCGGAAGTCGAGGTCGCGCTGCACGCACGAAGGCGTTGAGGAAATGCAGGGCCATTACCCGACGCTGTATGTCACTGTTGCTCTTGCCGGCGTCAGATCTTCTCTAGTGCTTAGTAATACTGTGACGCGCTGTCGCTATCTGCCCACACGATATCGAGGATAGGTCGTGGCTCACTGATATCTCATGGCGAACGCTGCGTGGGAGTATAATAATTAAGAAAGCGAGCAATTTTCTACGGTCAAGAACGATATGCTATTCTAATGTGTAAATAATAATGTAAATTCTATAGATTTGCAAATTAGCCTTTATTTGTTATTTAAAAAAAATTTTTATGCCTAAAATATCTTCAGAAACTTAGGTATATAAAAATACATATTAGATTTTTTATAGAAATTTAATACCGGAAGGGCCAAGTAATTATTTTGAATATTAAAAGCGTAACAAACACAGTTTAGTACTCAAAATAAGTAATTATCCAGCCCTTTCAGTATAAAATTTCTATAAGAAAACATATCATAATTTTTGTATGATTCATCACATTCTATACTTTGTCGAAGTTGAAGCTTTGTTCTCATAAGACGAAAATATTTCTGAGTAAAAAAAAAACAAACATTTCTCTTGTAACATAAATTTTCTTAGAAGGTGAATTATGAAGCTGTTTTCCCCCCATAAAGTAACGTGCCATAAAAATGACTTTCTTCGAACTCGTACGACAGATTTCTTCAGACACGCGCGTTTCTCGTGAGATAAAAAACGTCACGCATTTCTGTCGTGTAGTACAATTCCCGCGATTCGATTTGGTCACGTCGCCGCGTGCCGTTTTCACATATAGATCGGCTTCTGCGAAATCCCTGAAATGGAATCTAATTTCTAACGGCGCGTTTCACTCGGCGGAAAACGCATTTCGACGGCGACGTGCCGGCCGGCTGCGATCGCGGAGGTTGCCGGTAGTACCGGTCGCGGTTCGCCTGCACGCCAGACTTCTCTCTCTCCCGCTGGAACGACTAAAAAGAACGCAGCAGTATAGACGGCAGATAGTCGCATTTAAGTGGAGGCTAAGGCACCTTCGGATCTTGTATCCTACTCACGCGATTGCCATTTCCTATCCGCACGCTCGTTTGCATGCGCCGAATGTAACATTTCGAGTGATGGTTCGATGAACTCCTCGATTCTACGATGGATAATATTTCTCGATCAAAAGCGAATATTTTTTGCTTCGATAACTGTATTTTAGCTCTCTTTTTGTTGTTAGAGACGCTAATTTTATTTATTGCCATTTAAATAAGAATAAAATTAATTATGCAATTTATGCCTTAGAAATTTATATTTTAATAATAAAATTTTATTGTTACGTTTAATTTTTAAACAACTTTTAATTAGCTTTAATTGGTTTACCTTATTGTTCTGCTGTTGTTACTATATAAGTGACTTTTTGATCAAACATGAGCCGATCGTAGGTGACGATGTGGGTGACGATTTTACTGCTGTTGGCCTCCGCGTGGTCTTCGTCATGGGGTCAAGTGATAAACAGGGCGCCCCACTTTATCCAAGGTGGAGACATGGCCAGGTTGGCTGTGTCAGAGAGTGCACCGCCTGGCGCTCCCGTTTATACCCTTCGCGGGGAGGATCCTGAAGAATCCAAATTGCATTACTCTATCAGCGGCGAATACTTCACCGTGAACAGGGAGACCGGCGTGGTGACTCTGAGGAAAGCCTTAGACAGAGAAACACAGGATCTCATCGAAGTCATTATTAGCATAACAGGTAAAATTACGCTTATAATCTATACATTAGTAAAAAGATCCAATTTCTATAAATTCACGAAATGAAAATTTTAAAAATTGGCTGTATATTTTTTAATATACTATTTATATTTAGATGACTTCAATGCTTACAGACATATATGTATAATTACTCGTATTGATGTATATTGAATAGAATATAACAAGATTATTTATTTCATGGAGTTGTAATGAAAGAAAAATCGATTCAATTTATTAAGGGTATAAATTTGCTCGTTTCAGATGAAGGTATCGCCGGGTCGGAACCTAACACAGTGTCTCTTCGTCGCGAAATAGCGGTGCTCGACGAAAACGACAATCCGCCAGTTTACCATGGCCGGCCTTACGCTGCCAGAGTGCCGGAAAGTGCGCACGTGGGTGGCTTACTGCTTTCTCCGGGCACGATCACGATCACGGATCGCGACGGTGGCGTGAACGCCGACGTTCACGTGCAGTGCGTCTCGGCGTCGCGCGACGACGACGTCTGCGAGGTCTTCGACGTCTCTACAGAAAAGGTAACTCATAATTATTATTAAATTAAATTTAAAAAATTAATTGTATTTAAATTAAATTAAATTAAGAAATTAAACTGTTCAAATTAAATTAAGCAAAAATATAAATTTCTCTGAAATATTATTTTTAATGCGGTAAATAGTTTTTTTATCCTGAAGCCATTTTAAAGAAATGAATGAAAAATGAATTTATATTAAGACATATTTCGATGGCTTATTTTAGCTCGCTGAAGGGAAATACGACGTGCAGATCACGTTGGCGAAACCGTTAGATTACGAGAGGAGAAATTCGTATTTAATTAATTTGCTGGCTCTCGACGGAGCCAGCGATCCGTCGAAGAGGCTGCAAGCCAGAGCGACTGTTGCCGTCGATGTCCTCGACGTACAGGTAAGTAGGTCTCGATCATCACTGAAATAACCGTGCGCAAAAGCCGGCTGTAGTCCTACATTGGATAACAACGTCGCTTACGATAAAATTAGCAGGGAATCATCAACCTGTTATTCAATCTCTGTCTTGTCAGCGCGAACGCTATCAAGTGAAGACTCATCTCGGTCACGAGTGACGCATAGGGTTCATTCACGTTGAATTAACGAGTGTCGCAGTCTTATTTTTATCTCATATTTTTCGTACTACTGAATATTTTGTAAATTCCACTTTTAGATATAAATTTTAATTTCACTTTTTATTAATTTTTAATCTAATTGTAATAGAAATATTGAATAATAGGAATTAATCAGTTAATAATGGCAGAAAAATGAAATTGCGCCGAGTTGTCAGTAAGAGAAAAATTACGAATTAATTTACATAAATGTGCGAGTCAGTTTTTGGTGGTAGGAATAATGTTAATCGTGCTAAATCAGCAAAGTATAGAAATTGCAAGATTTATAGAAACGAAAAAGCAAACAATTCTTCAAAAATTCATAAAGACCTATAAACAGCGAGATAAACTCTTGTAAAAATTTCTCGCGCAGGATCAGCCACCTGTTTTCCTGAATGCGCCTTACAGCGCGGCGCTCCCGGAGAACACCGCGGCTGGTCACACGGTTTTGATAGTACGTGCACGCGACGGTGACACCGGTCAGCCAAGAAATTTATTGCTGACGCTGGAGGACGACGATGCGGGCCACTTCGAGCTCGAGATGTCCCGCGACGGTGACGTCACGGTTGGTAGACTGGTCACGACCGACGTGTCCCTCGACCGCGAGGATCCCAGGATCCTGCAGAACGGTGGCATTTACACTTTCCAAGTTAGGGCCACCGAGCTGATCAACAACGAGATACCAGCCGACACCGCGACGTCGATCGTCACGATCGTCGTCACCGACGTGGACGATCTCGTGCCCGTTTTCAACGAGGATTACTTCAGTATTAGGATCTCCGAGGACATCGGAAAGGACACTCCTCTACCAGGTTACTAAAAAAATCTGTTCCCTTATAAAGTTAAATACCTATTTGACAGATGTGTCGTCTTAATTAATTTGAAATGCGTGTTTCTCTAATTTTATTTTAATTTATCGTTTGTTTGAACTGTCAAAGGGCAATTTTGTTATATATTCTGTATTTTTATGTTAATTATTTATAGAATATTTATAGAACACAAAAAATATAATAAAAATAAAATTTGGTATTTCTCCTCGTTTTGCTTCTCTATTTCTATTTTTTTCTTTTGGGATATTCTCGTATTTAACGACTACGTAATTAAACAGGTCTGAATATGATTGTGAGCGATGGCGACGTGGGCGACAATGCGAAGTATTTCCTAGCGTTGCGAGACGTTCCGCGATACCCTGGAATCAGCAAAGCATTCACTGTCAGTCCCGAGGAAGCGCAGGGTCGGGTACCGGTAGTGATCAAGGCTAAGGATATCAATGTACTCGATTATGATGTTGCTGATCCCGCAAAGAGGGAAATCGAGTTCGATGTCATCGCGACTGTAGCGAGCGAAGTGGTTAGTTCCTTTTACAATACTTAAAAATTAAAAGTATCTTCATGCTTAATTAAATTGCTTAATAAATCAATAATTAATTTACAGTAGTAGAGTTAATTTCATAAATTATTTAAATAACTTTTAAATGTGCCATTTTATATTTTATTAAATAGAAATAATCTGTTTTATATAAAAGTTTCTTGCCGCGATTCTTTTGAGTATTATTTTTGTAGAATTATTGTTATCATTGGATTTTGAATGTAAATCATTTGTACCGCAGGTGGCCACCTGCAGAGTGCACATCCAGCTGTTGGACGCGAACGATCACAGCCCCGAGTTCTCCCGGTCGATGTACAAACTGTCGATCCCGGAGGACGCAGAACCCGATACTCGCTTCGGCAATGTTTATGCAAAGGATTACGACAGCGGTTCTTTCGGCAAGCTAACGTACACGTTGCGCGGTTTCGGCGCGGACAGGTTCAAGACCGATTTGCAGGCGGGCGGGATATTCGTGGCGAAGAAATTGGACTACGAGGCGCAGAAGTCTTACTCCTTGACGATGGAGGCGACGGACGGCGGTGGTCGAGTGTCCGCTGTTAACATTCTCATCGAGCTCGACGATGTTAACGATAACGAACCGACGTTTGAGCAGTCGGAATATTCCAGGACCGTTCGCGAAGATGCTACCAGCTTTGATCCGCAGATGTTCGTCAGGGCGACCGACATCGACGGACCGACGCAGGGCAATGGAAAAGTCATGTATTCGATCAGCCGACATAATAGCATGACAGACGATGTCTTCAAGGTTCGTTGTTAACGTGTTTTTACATCTTTTATCGAATCGATTATCAGTTTATTTTTTTTTTCATTAAATTTTTGAGAATAAAAATCTACTTGTTTATAAAATGAGATTCAATATCAATTAATGTGATGGTATAAAATTATAGTGCTATTTAATTATTTGTGATAAACGAAAACTTTTCCGTTGATATATGGTTTTACTTAAATTTATATATTTTCATATTAATATTAATTTATTTAAGATTAAAGAGAATATGATTACTAAATTTGATTAATAAATTTTATAATAAAATATAGCACTATAAACGTACACGGAAAGAAAAAATTTAACATTATCAGCTAAATATAATATTAGCTAGTTCGAACTTTACTGTCATTGCTAAAAGTTAGTTATTAAAATATATTTGTTGCGAGATACAATTTTATTAGCTAAAATAAAAGCGTACTTTAACAGTAGCTTTAGCAGTAACAATATTAGCTGTCCCTATTTTAAAGACACACATTAGCTACCACGATTATATTCTAGCTGTGTTGGCTAATCCTTTTTCACTAACCATTCGTTTTTAATGAATTTTACAGATTAATCCGGACTCAGGTGAGGTAACTATGTCGAAACCGGTTCGTTCTGGAGACACTGAGAGGGGCATTTACGAATTAATAATTCGTGCGACTGACACCGGCACGCCGCCGTTACATTCCGAGGCAAAGCTTTTCGTTCGCGTCGGCGTACCTGGGAACCAGAAGCCTATTTTCCGTGGGAACTACAAATCGAATCTGCCAGGTCCCAATACTTATCGGGCGAGGCTCTTGGAGAACGCGTCTCCCGGAACGGAAGTCATTCGAGTAGTGGCTAACGATCCCGACGGAAGGGATAACTTGCTGCAGTATTATATCGCATCCGGTTCTAAGGATAATTTTGTTATCGATTCCAGGTCAATATTAAGTTTATTAAATAGTCGAAATACAATATTGGAATTGAATCCTTTCTTTTATTATTTTTTTATCTATCCCATTTTTTATTTTAATTATTCTATTTCAATTTATAAAAGATTTAAGTCATGATACAATGAAATTCTTGATGAATAAAAATTCTCGATATTAAAGTTAATAAGAGTGACTGATTACAGTTCCGGCGTCATAACCGTGTCACCTGACGCTCGCTTGGATTTGGAAACTGGCGGCGACAAATATGAGGTGATTGTCTACGCCGTTGATTCAGGTACACCTGTCAAGGAGACCGCCACCACTACCGTGACGGTGAACATCATAGATGTAAATAATAAACCACCGACATTCAATGAATCAACGTACACTGTTCATGTCTCAGAACGCGCAGCCATCGGTACGTTGTTAATAACAAAGAGTCACCAATTCATAATTAGCTTTGCATTTAATTTTATTAAGCGAGTTTTCTTTAAAATAAAAATTAAAGAGTCCTAGAAATCGTTGATTCCAGATTGATGAAAAATCTTAGATTTTCTGTATTTAACTATCATTAAATATCCTCGAAAATTATAGCTTCTATAAAAATAGCATACTGGCTTTATTTATAATATTTTAACTATCTGTCGTCTTTTGACACAAATTAATTGTTAATGAAGAATTTATTATGAACAGGTGAACTAGTATTGAAGGTGGTAGCGAATGATCCTGACGCAGACGCATACCTGGAGTACTCTCTGGTGGAACCGATAAAAGCGGTCGACAAGACCGGCGTGGCCTTGAAGAACACCGTCTCTTACGATTACAAAACGGCGTTCCGAATAAATTCCACGACCGGTGTAATAACGGTTAATCGAGTGCTGGATTATCAAGTGGCCGCTGTCGTAATATTTACGGTGCAGGCGAAGGACTTGAACGCCGTCGTCGACCGGGACGAGCAGATAGCGAAGGTGGAGGTGATAATTTACATCCAAGCTTACAGCGATGACAATCCGACGTTCACCAATTCCGGATGGTCGCCAAACAATCCGACGATAAGGATCACGGTGCCGGAGGAGCAGCCCCTGGGCACGACGTTGCTGATGCTCTCGGCGAAGGAGCCGACAACGGGATATCCGGTTCAGAGGTTCGAATTGGTGAGAGAGGACGATGACGAAGGCTACGTTAATGTGGGTGTACAGAGCGGCAACGTGGTGCTGAGCAAGAGGTTGGACTACGAAGAGCTAAATCAGAAGGTAGGCGAGGATTATAATTTTGAGATCACGTGATTTTATCAAATAGAGATCATAAGTTTTGAGATCAGAGATCATTTGATAACATAAAATTATAAAACAATTCCTGATCTAAAGATGCTTGTCTATTTATATCTATTAATAATAATACTAATAAATTAGTAAATTTATATTGTACTTCCTTCTTTCTTAGTTTATGTTTAAAGTGTAAAATTTTTTTATTTTGTTTTCAGTTTATTCGCTTTAAAGCACGAGCGCTTGCCAGAGATTATGATATAACGCGAAAGATGTCGGAGGCTAACGTAATCGTCGAGGTTCACGACATCAATGATAATAGTCCCGTTTTTGGACAAAAGGATTACAAGATCTCTGTACTGGAATCAGCTAAGCCCTCGAAAATCGTGTTGAATGTGCAGGCAGTGGATATGGATAGCTCTAAAACCGAACAGGAAGTTCAAAGGGGATACGGCGAAGTGAGATACTCCTTGACGGGAGAAAATGCTAATCTCTTTGAAGTGGATCCCATAATGGGCAATATCCAGGTAAAACTCTCCTAACGATCTTCAACAATATCCTAATTTAAGTTCTAGAATACAAAAAGTTAAAAATATTTTGGAAATTTTTTGTTTAAAAGATTCCATGGTTTAAATTCATGGCAGTCATGACAAATTTTAAACGCTAAATTTAAAGGATATCTAAAATGTTTTAATTTTTTAAATATCTTCCTACATAGTTTTACTAGAATAAGTGAGAGAAATAATGAAAGAAATAATTTCTGTATAGATTGCCGCAAACACGACTCTTGATAGAGAGAGACAATCGGTGTTGCGTTTTTACATCGTGGCGTCGGACATGCCCCAGGGTGGAGCCGAGCAACGCAGCAGTCGAGCCTTGGTGACGGTCGATGTTCTCGACGTTAATGATAACGCTCCTAGCTTCGAACAGGAATCCTATACCGCGGTGATTCCGGAAAACGCACCAGTGGGAATTAGCGTGGTGAACATCACGGCTACCGATCCGGACGAGGGTGAAGGAGGGACGATCCACTTCGAGATCATCGACGAAGGTGAAGCTAATGGTAGGATCAAAATATTAACTACAATATTAATTTTATTAGATATAAAGAGCGTCACCTGATTTGAAATTAGAGTTATTTTAAATAGCCGTGAAGAAGAATGAAGAGAATTATAAAATAAAACCTAATTTATTTTATAAATAAATTTATTAAGAATTAAAAAATTTAATGAATTAAATTTATTAAAATTAAATTATTTGCTTTTTTATAAATAAATAATTAATAATAGTTTTCATAGAAAGAGAAATTTATCGTATGATTGAATGCTTTTAGGATTATTTAAAATAAATCACACGACGGGCGAGATTTACTCGGCGCGAGCGTTGACGGGCAAAGGCAGGACCGAGCCGTACAACATGCGAGTGCGAGCGCAGGACGGCGGCGAACCGACTCTGTACACGGACGTGAATCTCATCCTGTACATCGGCGACGTGGTGAGTAACGACGGCGTGCCTCTGTTCATCAGGCCGACATTGGAGGAGGTAGCCTACGTCGCGGAGAACTCCACCATTGGCAGTCCGGTGTTCCAAGTCGTAGCGTCCGATCCCGACGACCCGAATTTGCCGAACGGTAGAATCACCTTCCGCTTCCTGGAGGACGGTAATTTTGGCAAGGACGCGAGCGCCTTCAGGATTAACAGCGACACCGGGTTGATCAGCACGCGCAAGTTACTCGACCGCGAGACTAAAGACAGCTACACGTTGATCCTGGTGGCGCAGGATCTCGGCGAGCCGCCGCAGCAGGCGACCCGGGTGCTCCAGGTGATCGTGAACGACATCGACGATCACAAACCGCACTTCAAACGCAGCCTGGACAGCCCGCCGATCGAGCTGAACGTCCTGGAAGAGGTGCCGCTGGGTTCCAAGGTCGGTGTGATCGAGGCGATTGACGAGGACATCGGTGAGAACGGAATGATCGACTACGAGATCGTGTACGGGAACGAGGCTGGGCTGTTCGTGGTGCAACGCCTGGAAAACAATTCCGCGATCATCAAGTCGAACGGTCGTCTGGATCGGGAGACCGCCGAGTTTCACTTGCTGACCGTGAAGTGCTTCAAATACTCCTCCAAAAAGTTGGACATAGTGCCGAAACCGTACAACAGGCAGGACCCCTCGGAGAGGCAGGTGCTCGTCAGGGTGCTGGACGTCGACGACAATAAACCGCGCTTCAAGAAGGACAACGTAACCCTGGGCGTTCGCTTGAACGTGCCAATCGACACCAGCCTGATCACCCTGGAGGCCTACGACGCCGACTCCAGCGCGTTACCCATCAACTACAACATGAGTAAAGTGTCCTTCACGTCTCTGGTCGATCCCTCCATGTCGCAGAAGGAGATACCGTCGCAACTGTCCTTGAACGCGCGCACCGGTGAACTCAGGACGACGGGCTCCATGGCGGGATACGCGGACGGCTTTATGGAGATGATCGTGTCGGCGAACAACTCGGCGACGCCGGGCGGCGAGACCAACGTCACCGTGAGGATCTTCCTGCTGCGCGATCGCGACATGCTGAAGTTCGTGTTCTCGAAGCCGCCGGTCGAGGTCAGGAAGACGCTGGAAGACTTCGAGCGGGCGGTTCAACAGGCGCTCTCGCTGCCGATCAGCGTCAACGTTTACGACACGCAGTTCTACTCGAAGGAGGACAACTCGCTGGACTTTTCGTCGACCAGCTCGTGCTTTCAGATGGTCGGCAAGGAGTCCTACGACCTGGACGAGATGCGATCGTTGCTGACCGATCCCAGGAATAAAGAGCTGAAGAAGGTGTACAGGACGTATCACGTGGAGAAGGTGCAGCATTGCGCCGCCGTGGTAGCCCGTGCTGATGCCTCCATGACGCAAATATGGGTCCTAGCCATCGCGGTCCTCGTCGGGATCGCTACCATAATCTCCAGTTGTACATTGTGCTGCATGCATGCCAAGTTAGTGTTAATTATTATTATTATTATTATTATTATTATTAATTTATTGTGTAGTCATAGATTTACAAGAAAAGTGAAACTGCGAAAGAATACAAAAGGTGTCAGCAATGCTGCTGCTTGTATTACCTACCCGAAAACATAAAAATGCAGAAGTGACGGAACCAATGCTATTATTAGAAGTATGATTGACAATGTCAATTGATCAAATTTTATTATAAGCAATAATTTTTATTTTCTTTATTACTTTATTTAACGAAACATTGGATCAAAAATATTGCAATCTGTATTTCTCTTTCAGATATAAACGGCAAGTGAAACACGCGCGCTTGCGCGATCAACCACGACCGCCTCTCAGTTTCGTGTCTTCCGGGCCGGCCATGGTCAGTTCTGGGTCTCATACAACTTTGGGTCCTGGCACGATGGTCACGTTGGGCCCACATGAAGGCCCATACGAGTGGGGTGCCGACACGACGCTTTACCATCCAAGTACGCTGGGTTCGAGAACGTAGAGATTCGGGAAGATATTAGACAATGGAAAAGGTCTTTTACACAAATTGCATCGATTTTTTCTTAGACGAATGTAATTGGCAATAAATTCTTCAATTATTAAACAAAAGCATGTTCTATAATAAGATATTTATTCTAAAGTTAATCAAAAAGAAATTTTTTATCTCGCAAGTTTAATAAAGTTATACATATTTATACTAGATGTCCAAAAATTAAATTTAAGAAATAATAAAATTGTTGCTAAGAAAAAATCGATTAAAAATGTTTTTAAAAACGGTGATTTCAGGTAGTATTTTTTAAAATACGATATTTTTTATATAATCTCAGCGAATTTTTTAAATGACTAAAGTATGGTGAAAAGTGCATCGAAAGTTCCAAAACTATAAACGTGTAATTTATAAACTTATGGTTGAAGAAGAGTTCGAAAAAAAAGATTGATGGTGCTATACTCGTAATGTAAAAAGTATTATATGATTTAAGACGCGCACATGCAATGGAAGAATATGGTTTGTAAAATTTGATGTGTTATCGGTAAGTAATTTTAAGATTAAATTAATAGTATAGAATTATACAAGTCTAGTATAAGTAAAATATACGACTATAAACTCTAGAGTTTAGAGTTATACATTAGAGTTATACATTTTATTTATACTATACTTGTGATACTGTTAAGAAGCTTGAAATGCGTTCTCTGTTGTAATATAATGTAACATCATATTCATATTTAAGACGAAATAAAGTTGTACATTTTATAGTCGACAATAGTCGACAGTACATTTTCAAGTTTGTATAAACTTGTTTTTGATTTTTGGTTCTGTGTTAAATATTTAATAGAAGAATATGAGATAAACACCTATCTATACATTTTCAATTACGACAAATAATTTATAAATGTGCTATACGTTCTTTTTTTAAGGTAAGTACATAGAAGCAATTTTTATGTATCGTAAGATCTCGTGCATTAGATTGCTAGAAATAATAAAAAGTTACATTATCGGAAATTCTTTTTACTTGTAAATATTAAAATATACTACGAGTTAAATTTAAAAATAAGATAAAGAAATTTATATTTAAATTTCATTATTTCAAATCTGTTTAAGCAATTCTTTAATATTACTATAATGCAATAAGATCTTACATGCAAAGTAACCATCTCGATTACTTCACACAACTAAAGCTTTCTATGTACTTGTTTTGATAATCTCAACTTGTAAACGTGCATTATATCCAACGTCGCAGTGGCCTATGAAGCAATCCTTTGGTAAGCGACGAATATCTCCCGTTCGTTCTCGCTGACGATCACGAGAGATTTCCGAATGCCTTCGATGAAAATGTCAAGGCGAGGAAGCGAGTCGGGCTGTATTCGAGCAGACGCGGTATTGAAATGTTTGTCTGATGGTTACGTGAAAAGCATACTGACGTCATCTCTTTTCACCAAAAGTGCTTAACGCGTAACAGAAACGAGTCACTATCCGCGCCGGTGATTAATGAAAGTTTGTCGCGCGATTATTGAACTCAGAAATCTCCATATTACCTTGCAGATGTAGGTATCCTTGTAGTAAGATACAGCTTCGCTACAAGCTGGTGACTCTTTGCCTTCTCTTTCTCGGCATAAAATATTCTCTCTAAATTAATGTAGCATAACCGTTCCCAAAATTCGAAAAATAAATCTTGACACACGAAGAAGTAGTGATTAAAGCACAATAGGAGAACTACAAAAATATATTTCAAAACAAAATACGATAACAATTGTATTATACATAGACATACTTTCGATGATTTTAAGCGAGATAGAGCGCGTGGCGTGAATTTTTTTCGTTTATGTAACACTAGAATATCTCGTGCATTGAATTATCACGAGATATTTGATAATCTTTTCTCACGAATCTAATCGCATCTTTAATAATTATAATCCAATTTTAGCGCAACAGACTGAAACGCTGGGATCCTTCGACGGTATCGATATCCTTCGAAAGAACGATGCTTCCGTTCGCATTGGCCTTCGGAATGTCGATCGTCGTTGTGTTGTCGCAATTTGCGCAATCCTTTTCCGTAGACACGATCATTTTCTGTGCATTAATATCATATTTCTGCGTGCTGGTATAATCCACGCCGATATTTGATTTATGATTGGAATGCACGATAGGATCTTGTACGGTATCGTCGTCGTTAAACAAATCCGAATAGGCTTCTGGATTGTTATCCAGTACGAGATCTCCCTCTTTCTCGTTCTTTTCGTCCAGACTCATCTCGTGATACCGCGTTATCGGAAGACTGGTTGTCTCTGTGTTCTGATTATCCGCGAGCTTCGACTCCTCGATCGCGGAATGATCGGTCAGGTGTTTGGTGATCGATTCCAAGGGAGACATTATCTTATTCGCAAATTCCTGCCGCTCCTCGGGTTCCATCGATTCCGATCTGTGTATGATATCGTTCCTGGAAATCAAATTAAAAATATTAAATAAAAAATTTAATTAGATTAAATTTTTTGTAACTCTGCGATAAATATGAGGATAAAGCAGTTATTGAGCTACTGCAATGGCAAGACAAACTTCAAGTTTGGTTTTTCAAAGCGGACTCAATTGACACAATGCGAGAACTAAAGGTGATTAGGAAAGTCATCGAGAACCGTACCTGTTGAACTTATTCTTCTTTCGAGGATACAGATTTAGATGAAGTATCATTTGCTGTCTCTCCTCTTCTTCCGATATAGGCGTAGGACTAGGTATAGCCATGAGGGGTATAGGTTGCGGGGATGGATAAAATTTCGGTCCGCGAAATTGGACGGGCCTTCTGAAATCGTATTCGTCCGTCGATCCTTGCGGCCTGGTCCACGTCGTCTTCTTATTCTGCTCCATGATGTCGGTAATGGGATAGATGTCGAGCATCACACTAAATGGCTTTGGTTTCCGGTGCTTCGTTAAGGTGTTCGTCGAGTAGGAGCCGACGACATTTTCGTACTGCGGTTCCGTTACCATTGGTTTGTTGTAATTAACTAAAGGTCGGGAATATATGGGATCGTAATAAGGACTGTAACGATGTACTCCGGTCGGAGAGAATCTAAAAGAGAACACTTTAATTAATTCTTCAGATAAATTGTAGATATATTAATTATATTAATTAATTTGCGAGATAACATAATGATATAATAATGTATTTATTAAATATGTAGTTGTATATTTTATTGTAAAATAAGGGATATAATTTTGTAAATTTGTAATATATAATTATAAAAAATTTTTATCTCTACTACAACCCGATTCATTAATATCTAATTTTTTCACTATATTTTAGACTTACGCGTTACAATTCTTTGATTACAAACCTCACGTTAGATGTGGCTAAGAGATTAACATCCGCCGGGTGTTTCGGTTTATATTGGTAAAAGGGATCGTTACTGTACGTCCCCGATTTCATCGGAGGATACGGAGGCGCCTCGTGCTCCTCGGATTTATCGCTGCCGGACATCATCTCCCCCATTCCCATATCCGGGATCAGGTCGTACTTCTTCGGATTGACGTAGACGCCGGTGAACTTGATGCCGCGATTCGCCATCTCGGCGTTGCTCGTCAGGTACTTGATGATGTCCTGGATACTCCTGGACGAGTGCGGGTAACGGTATTGCGTCAGCTGCGGATACCTCGGCCGTTTGAACGACGTCGGATGCGGCGTCTTGAATTCCCAGTGAAACGGCGTAGGCCGCGCCTCCTCCGTGCTCGCGACCTCGTCCGAGTCCGGATGTTTGTGCCTGCCAAATTGATGGAGTACCATCCGCGTCAATCCGTGCCCGGTGCGGTAGAAAAGTTACGGTATAAAAATGACGCTTTATGTAAATTTCTGGCGATAACATTAAGATTGACTCTCTCTCTCTCTCTCTCTCTCTCTCTCTCTCTCTCTCTCTCTCTCTCTCTATACGCGTCACGATGAAATATAAATGAGTGATGAACGACGTCGGCGAGATCCTGTGTGCAATGTGCAATTTATAGAATCGACTCTTAGCGCGCGCAATGGCACAATGTTACCTAACGTAGAAAGTACATCATAAGAATGATGTCAATGATATTCGCGATATTTTCGGGATTATTGATGGGGGAATTGAACCCGTCGGCGTCGATTCGTCGCGGTTCGCGCAAGCGAGTGCCAATTCTTCCGCGTTGCATTCTGCGCGAAGATCGTAATATTGCGCCAAATGGACATTTACAAATCGTCGCCCGCGTCGTTCGAATGAAAAAGAAAATTGTTCGTCTCTTAACATTTTAGTTTCATTTTGATGAATGACGATCGGAGAAATCGGACGTACTAAGGCAATCGCGGGGAGGAGGATTAATCACGATGACGATGTCGTTCACCTCTGTCTCACACGATAAACGATCGCATGATTGTCGAACAATTGCTTGGCCTCGGGTCCCTCGTTTTCATCGGCGTCTTCCACGGATTTCAGCACTCTCTTCCGCTGCTTGAAATTGTGCAGATTCTGCGCTCTCATCTCGGGCTCGCTCGCTTTCGCGACGCGTGTCTCGGCCGGCATTGTATCGCCCGTTGCGTTTCGTTGTATGAGACCATCGTAGTTCTCATCGTCCGAACGATCCTCCATGGAAAGATTATCCGCACGATTAATCGTTTCATACAGGATCGTGGTGTTCTTTTTCGAGGGATTCGGTAATTTCTTGAGAGCATTCTGGAGTATGTATATGTGTTTCGTCTCCTGATTGATTTTACTGTTCCCCGACGTGGCGGACGTAAAATCGTACATAAATATCGCCACCTACGATGGTATTAAATTGTTAAAATTCGGATATCTAAATAGAACATCTAAATAAACAAATAAAAAGTTCTCAAGCGGAGCGTGTTGATTAGTAAAATATTAAGACATTAATAAAATTACTGTTGTTAATATCTGCGAAAAGAAATAAAATTTATTATACGTTCTATATGAGATTTCAGCGAGCTGAACGTTAACATTGCACTATTTTTTAATGAAAGCGCCACACAATGTTAGTTCTCTTAATGGAACTCTAATCTTTAATTCGACTGTAGAAAAAAAGAGCAGTTGCAACGCAACGAAATTGTATAATCAATGATTTATAAATCAGTATACGATGTTTATCCAACTTCTGAAACAACAAAGATGCAATTAACCCACGTTCCCAGCTGGAGAACGGCGGTTAATCCGTACCGAAACACAGTTAACGCCCTATATGTGAAGCGTGCAGAAATCTTCGCTCGCTTGGCTCCCCATGCGTGGAAGGGATACCCGAAGATTCGCGGTGAAATTACAATTCCACACGCGTCTCCGACATTAATCACCGGAGAAAACGCGCGCGAACTGTAATTACGGGCTATTGTTTCTTGCGTGCGAGCGCGCGCGTGGAAGAAACTCGCGAAAAACTCCATACCGTTTAATTATCATCGTCTCGGTGGCGCGTGCAACAAAATTGTGCGAAACAAGATGCGTCGCGAGTGCAGACGTCTCGTCGTGCAAGGTCGTTGTCCGATAGAACGCGTAGCGAAATCGTCGATTGTAAGACGTGTACGAAGATTAATAATGTCAAACGATAAGCATCGCTTTGTTTATTCAACGCATTATTTTATATTTCTAATTATGAAGAATTAAAATGATCTTACTTTGGCTGATTTCGGCATTAAGCTTAAAAAATCTATTATATGTTATTTCAATATTTTATTTTTATTTTAATGTTTTAACATAATTTCTTTAATATCTTAATCCAATTTTTTCCTTAATGCTTAATGCTTAGTAGAATCATTTTTAATCGGGTAAATAAAACTGTCAATCGTAAATGCGTGATGAGACTCTTGCGAATTTTACGCGTCACTCAAATCTGGTGATATGACAGTCAAAGTGCTAATAAGCTATTTATAGTATAATAATGCTTTCTCTTTGAGTAGGATTGTTATTATGACACAGATATATATAATCGAGAGATATACGTCCATGTTACGAAGAAAGATATATTGATTGTTAGAGTAAGATGTAAGAAAAGATACAATTAAATACGCGTAATTAAAATTATTTGTCATGGAATTGATACTATTAATTAATTATTTTTTAATTTTTCTTCTTTTGAACTTTCAAGTTATTATAGTCGTAAGCTTTAATTGTAGCTGTCCTAAAATTTATTTTCTAACGTGCAAAATTAATAAATATATAATTAATTAATATCTGTAATTCTGCACACACACACACTCGATTACTCACCAATATCACCGTTACCACCACCATAACTCCGATCGCAAGTTTTCTCACAATTAAACCGTAGCGACTCCTGTTATATCGATCAACGCGATCAGAATAAAGCCCTAGCTCGGACGTACTTATGGCGGATCTCCTGCCAGTTTCAAGCATCGCCTTCTGAGAGTTCTGGCGAGTGGTGTCCTTTACGATTACACATTGACGATACTGAGCGTCCTTAATTAATCAGCTTACCGTTGACATGCCTCGCTGTCGATTTGTCGAATTTTACCTCGCCATTGTCGTCGAAATGTAGTCGCGTACGAGCTACAGGTGCTCTTCGGCAAGGGTTATTTCGACGAAACGCGAAACAAGACCGTTTTAGCCCGATTCGTTAAACCGTTATTTCGAACTATATGGAGCACACGACGTTGCTCTTTCGCCGCTTCCCACGCAACTAACGATCGCGCATTTCTCGGCTCACAGTTTTCACTGGCGATTCCATCAGGCGCCACGGAGATTTCCTTTGTTCGTGGGGGAGGCTCGTTATGGTAAGTGGAAGGCAGGTGGTTATGGGCTACTTACTACGATGCTAGGACTCGAGTGCCACCGAGTGCGCACGACATGCGAGGAAAATCTCTCACCGTTCCGGTGCTTGACCTGCTAAATACGCTTCTAACGCTCCATTTTCGTCCGCTTGTTCGAGTCAAAGCGACACCGCGATTTCTTGCCCGTGATGTGCACTTTTGTCACAAGTGTCCGCACGCAAATATCAATGATATTAGAAAGTGGTCGGATATTTGCAGCGAGGATCCTCGGATCTTAATAGGTTGAATTACGTATAATATGTATACATTGAGTAGATATTTATATTTAAAAAATTACTGTAAGTTGCTGTAAGGTAAACAAAAATTTTTGTTTGAAAAAAAAAAGAAACCGACTTATTTTACTCTATTCCTTAAAGAAAAATATTTCTAATTACTATGAGGGAGTCTGTATAAATAAATGTCGACTCTGATATTAATAGTCACTTATATGTCACGATTAGACATGTTTTAATAGGATGTTTTATGTTAATTTGCTAATTTATTTAAAAAATAAAACTGTTAGGAAATAAAATTATAGCTTTTTAGACATATATACTATATATAATTGCGGTTTCAAATATACGAATGTGTTTTCCATTGATTAGCGCAATTAACGCAATCCTTTATATACATAATTTTCAACCGTATCGCTGAATTTTATAATAATGTAATATAACGTAATATTTGAAAATTATTTCTGATTTTGATGTGTTCTCTTTCTGTGTTGAATTAAAAACACATTTTACGTTAAAGCGGGGAGGTATGTAAGTAGCATTTTTATAAAAATTTTTATTCCTTTTTTCCACACTCGTTACACATGTAAAACGACATTCGTTGGTCGACTAAATCCTTATCTGGAAGAAACAGTGTGGCGAAAACGATCGATATATAAAAAAAGGCAATACTCTCTAAATGTCCGGCGAATGATTCAGCGCTCTACCATCGGCCATTAAATTAATCTTTACTAATATTAATACGCATACTAATATTTAAGATTTTGTTAATCGGTAATCGCGCTGCGTTGATCTCTCATCGTTTGCGAGTTTCAAACGGGATGTCGGGGATCGGGTAATTGTATCCTAAAGTCGGCCTGGGTGTCGTTGGCGGCAGAGTTGGGGGTGGCGCCGGGCTTCCGGTCGGCGGCGGCGAGGTCGGCGTGCTGGGCGTGATGCTGTAAATAGGCGGGGGTGGTGGCGGTGCTGTCACGGTTGGATATACCGGCCTCGGGGTTGACGGCGGAAGATATGGTGGTGGTCGAGTTTGCGGTGGAATATACTGAGTAGTCGACGGAGTTTGTGGTGGAATGTACTGAGTAGTCGACGGAGTGGTTCTGGGCGGCAGATAGCCCGATGTTGTCTGAGTATACGTGCTAGGCGTTCTTATAGTTGGAGTATATCTTGTAGGAGTATATCTAGTTGTGGTTGGTGTATATCTAGTTGTAGTTGGAGTGTATCTAGTTGTAGTTGGAGTATATCTAGTTGTAGTCGGAGTATATTCGGTCGTAATTGGAGTGTATCTGGTAGGAGTATATCTGGTTGTCGTTGGAGTGTATCTGGTCGTGGTTGGAGTATATCTGGTTGTCGTTGGAGTGTATCTGGTCGTGGTTGGAGTATATCTGGTAGTAGATGGCGTAGAATAAGGCGGAAGATAAGTAGGTGCTTGGGAAGTGATTCGAGGGGTGGGTCGCGTGATAGGCGGTGGAGGGCGAGTAGTCGGGCGTTTTGTAGAATATGTTCCAAAGCCAGTCTCAAATGATCCAACGCCTATATATCCTTCTGTTGTGGTCCTTGGAGTTGGTGGTACGTAGGGTGGTCTAGTTGAAGGCGGCAGGTAAGAAGGAGTAGGTCTTGTAATAGGCGGTGGAGGACGAGTGGTCGGGCGTTTTGTAGAATACGTTCCAAAGCTACTTTCGTATGATCCAACTTCATATTCTATACGTTTTGTTGTTGTCCTTGGAGTTGGTGGTACGTATGGAGGTCTAGTTGAAGGCGGCAGATAAGGAGGCGCGGTTTTAGGTGGAGGAGGTGGTGGTGGTGGTGGTGGTGGTGTCTTGGGAGGATACGTAAAAACTGATTCTGGTGTAGTATATGTGTATCCTCTTGTTGGTGGTGTTCGCGGAGGTGGTGTTCTTGGTGGTGGGGTTCTAGGTGGAAGAGTTTGTGGAGGCGGTGTATACGGTGGCGGTGTTCTCGGTGGAGGAGTTCGTGGAGGCGGTGTTCTTGGTGGAGGAGTTTGAGGAGGTGGTATATATGGTGGCGGTGTTCTCGGTGGTGGAGTTTGTGGAGGTGGAATATATGGTGGCGGCGTTCTCGGTGGAGGAGTTTGTGGGGGCGGTATGTATGGTGGTGGAGTTTGTGGGGGTGGAATATATGGTGGCGGTGTTCTCGGTGGTGGAGTTTGTGGGGGTGGAATATATGGTGGTGGCGTTCTCGGTGGAGGAGTTTGTGGGGGCCGTGTATATGGCGGCGGTGTTCTTGGTGGAGGAGTTTGAGGAGGTGGTATGTATGGTGGCGGTGTTCTCGGTGGTGGAGTTTGTGGAGGTGGAACATACGGTGGCGGCGTTCTTGGTGGAGGAGTTTGCGGGGGTGGTAAATATGGCGGTGGTGTTCTCGGTGGAGGAGTTTGCGGGGGCGGTGTGTATGGTGGCGGCGTTCTTGGTGGAGGAGTTCGTGGAGGAGGAATATATGGTGGTGGTGTTCTCGGTGGAGGAGTTTGCGGGGGTGGTGTGTATGGTGGCGGCGTTCTTGGTGGAGGAGTTCGTGGAGGAGGAGTATACGGTGGTGGTGTTCTCGGTGGCGGCGTTCTTGGTGGTGGAGTCTTGACAGGTGGTAAATATGGTGGTGGTGTTTGCGGTGGAGGAGTTCGTGGCGGCGGTGTTCTTGGTGGCGGTGTTCTTGGTGGCAGCGTTCTCGGTGGCGGCGTTCTTGGTGGTAACGTAAACTCTGTTTCTGGAGTTGTATAAACGTATCCGGTTGTTCTTGGCGGCGGTGTTCTAGGCGGCGGTGGCGGTGTTCTAGGCGGTGTCGGGAATGGAGTCCTTGGAGTTGTATATGTTACATATGTAGACGTTCTTGGAGGTGGTGGTGGTGTTCTAGGAGGAGGTGGTGGTGTTCTTGGTGGTGGCGGTGGCGTTCTTGGTGGCGGTGGCGGTGTCCTTGGTGGCGGCGGTGGTGTTCTTGGTGGCGGCGGCGGTGTTTTTGGTGGCGGCGGTGGTGTTCTTGGAGGCGTTGAGAATGGAATCTTCGGAGTAGTGTATACATATCCATCTGTTACTACAGGGGGTGGTGGCGGCGGTGGCGTTCTTGATGGTGGTGGCGGCGTTGGGAATGGAGTCCTTGGGGTTGTATATCTCTCTGTCACCACATATGTTGATGTTCTTTGTGTCGGTGGTGGTGTTCTTATCGTTGTTATTCTTGGAGTATACGGTGGCAATGTCACCGTTGTTGGCCTCAACGCTATTTCACTTGTCCGTGATCCTCTGTCGATATAATCATAGTTTATTACAATATTTAGTAAGAAAATATTATTTATTATCACGCAAAGCTTAGTTACAAATAAACTTTTTTTAAAGGTAAATCTAATCAAACTGATAATAGTATACATATTAAGACTGATACTTATACATATATACATATTATAAGTATTATAATTATATATATATATATATATATATATATATATATATATATGAGTATTATAATAAATATTATAATTTTTAGATTTTTAATTACTTACGCAGGGGGTAAAGTAAAAGGTTTAGATGGTGGCTCATAGATATAACCCTGGAACTGTGGGCTATTCTCTATCGCACGTTTGCTTCTCTCACGATTTGCATCTACATAGCACGTGGAGAGCAGGGCCACCACAACGGCTGCCCACAGCAGCTTCCACTGCACATAACATAACTTTCATTAAATTTTCACCATTCCAATTAATTTAAAAAAGTAACTTGATTATGTACATTTGTGTATATTTGATTAACGTAAGCTATCATTTCAAATATTTTTTGCGTTAAAGCTTTTTAAGTAACTATCGCGTATTATTGCGTCAAGGATCGGTAATTAAATGAGTAAATAAAAATTACATTATTTACTCTTTCTCGCAATAATTAGTCGAGCGTTCACGTATGCAATCGTAATAGATCGAAGATCATCTCCGTGGGATAATCTCACGCTTTGCCCACGGTGATCTTACATAACGCATCGACCACGAGGTGCTATGTAATATGACGATGATGATCGTGAAAGGTTCGCGAGCGTAGAATACGGTGTATCGTCTTTTCATTGATTAACGTTCGACGATGCAGTGCCATTTACTACATAATTATGCTAAATGTTTCCCGTTAATATAAAAATTTTGAGACCCACATGACAAAGCACATGGCTTAATTTTAGCAATAGCTATTATAAACGCTTTTTAATGTAGATTTTCTATTTAGTTTTAGATTTATTCTCTGATATTTACAACGTTAAATATATTTATAATACACTACTCTTATTATTAAATCCTTTCTCATTTCATTTTTATTATGTATTATAATTTGATATTTTTCAGTGTGTAACATATTTTACATTTAAATGCTTTTATATTATAACAAAAATATTATTCTGCGTGTAACATTACGCCGTATTTGTTTTTTCAACATGGATGAATAATCTTGCACCTGCAAGCATATACATCGCGGTTTCATTAGTTAGCGAATTTAAAGGCGTCTGTTTCATTTCATCAGATTCAACTGGTACCTCTGACTGGCGAATTAAATCGCTGTAATCGTTCGCGACGTGTTCTGTGTTCGACGAACGATGATTCTGTCTCGAACAAGCGCGTCCGGTGACCTTTAGCTTTATAATTTATATGGAAGGATAGCAGTGTGTGTACCACGGGGAAAGAGACAGCCTCTCCCGATTTGTATCTTGTGTGTGAAAGGTTTCTGTTTTGTAGAAGTACTGGAGTCGGTTTGCCGAAGAAGCGATACAGATTGTAGGCAAATATATCCCAAGATATCAGCAATGTAAAATTTATAAATTAAAAACGAATTTACATCAGATTTTAATTTATCAAAATCTAATTAAAGTATAATAAAGATTTTAACATTTTCAACATGTTAATATTTTCGATAAGAAAAATTAACTCCAAATTAATATTCTGACTCCGTGAGATAAAGCAAATAGATGTGTCAAATGTTAAATATTTTAACAATAAGAAATTTATGAAAAATATGTAACGTTGCTTGAATTTAACATTGACTTTCATGTATCGATTGTATCTTACTGCAACTTCGATGCAATCGAAATTTGATATTACAAGAAACAATGTGTCTATCAGATAATTTCTGCACTTCCCTGATGATGTATCTGTGGCATCATCTAAGTCAATTGACTACATCCATTAACTCGGCACTATATCTGTTCCACCTTTGGCCTTTACCATATTTGCTTTGGACAGGTTCTTCTCGTACCGTGTCATTGTAGGAACCTTATTGTACTAACAAGAGGGAGTTCTCTTGCTTGAGGCGACACAATGATCACTCGTGACTAACAGATATGTCGGATGAATCAATGGCATCTTAAGATTTCGAACAGTTTTTAGCTGTTTATACCAAACTATTGTATTTAAAGGTTTCTAATAATAAAAGCGCTATTGATCACGTGCACTTATTGAGTTTTTGTTTAAATTGAAAGAGAGAGAGAGAGAGAGAGAGAGAGAGAGAGAGAGAGAGAATTACTTTGAATTTCTGTTATTTTGAATTTATTTTACTTGTACTCTTATTCAATTCCTCATGCAATTATTCATTTGCTCTAACCATGAACTCGTATCACGATAAAGACTTCAAGGCATTTATTAAGACCTATCTGCGTAGAATGTCATTATTGTATAAATAAAAACTCCGTGTAGGAAGTGTTCGATAATAACAATACTGGTTTTATTGAGGCCGACGCAAGTTCGCTCGAGTCTCTCGGAGAATTACGCAGGTCGCAGTTATGTAAATGTAAAGGGACTCGCGGACAACATTCTTGCAAAGCGCCTCGCAACTGCAGCGAAATGGCATATTATTTCGTGAAAAAGACAGGACCGGTGATTTGCACGGTGTAGATTTGCCGTCGTCCCTCCCCCCCTGCACACCCTCTCTCTCCCGTGGCGCCGAGTGCCAGAAGTTGTCTTTGATGGAATTTATGACAGGATTTATTTGCAAACCATTTACCGGTGACATGAGTAATCATCCTATTCTGGCAACTGTAGGATGCTCAAAAGACTTCGAGAAAGAGGAGGCTGCGCTTTCTCAAGAGAGTTCTCGAGGGATCATTTAAATTTAAAATGCAACGCGCAATAGAACGTAAAGAAGTCAATTTCGAAACTTGGTTGTGTGTACGCGGGTAACGCGCGCGTGTTACTCCTTATCGCGAATGATTATCTCGCTGCACGTGATAAGTAGGACAATTATTAGAGCATAATAAGCGCGGACACCCGGACAGCTTCATCCTGTCTGTTTGCTCAGCGTTGTTCGAAGGGTACGTACAGATTAAGCAAACAATCGATCACTCTCTTACAAAGTATCCTTAGACATTTCATTTACATTTGGAGAAAGCGCCGAGAGTCCGCGAGATGCTGGCCGATAAGAAGGCGACATGGACCTCGGTGGCCTTTTTCTCATTGGGTCGACGCATGAGATCGCGTAAGGTGCAAAATGTCTTGCGCAACGCAATCGAGCGTTGAAATTTCTAATCACGCGACTGTCGCTAATGGAACACGCGGAAGAGAGTCGATCGAATCGCGAAGCAATCGTCGAAGGCAGGTAGAGAATTTCTTTTGTGCGGGCGTTTTTAAGGAAAATTGCGCGGATAAATGACGATGCTCTCCAGAAAGCGTTGCAAGCGCCATTTATAGAAGTAGATTTTATTATAATAATTAAAAACGGCAAAAGAAGCGATTAGAAACATTCTACATAATCCTAGATTATGAAAAAATTTCAATGGATATAATAATCACTCAATGAAAGACTTATATTAATTTCTTAAATGTAAAGGTGATTTTTAAAATCTTGGAAAATTTTTACAAAATTTCGTTTGATTTGATACCAGAGATGACATTATCAAGAATGCGACGATCGAGGGGACTTCCAAGGTTGAAAAATGTTTCTAAGCGTGGAAGAACTCACGAGGACTACCTATAAATTTTGAAGGAGATTGAAGTTCGATCTCTACAAATGTAATCTATTTATTTGATCTCACGCATAAAGAATATTTTTTTTCATCAGACTCCTTAGTAATATTTATAGTTTTTACGAACAAGTGAATCCTAGTATTCTAGTGTTTTCGAATACTTGTACCGGATTTATGTAAATCACGTAACCTTTCCTGTTAAATAAATGTCAAGGATTAAAAAGTTAATGGTCAAAGAAATAGCATTGAGATTTTGTCGAATCAATATATTTCGAATGATGTTCGCGAGAAGAATGTATGGTAAAAAAAAATTCTGGTAATACCACTAATCAGTAGTCACATTACATGTTTTGTAACAGCGGATTATCGAATCAATATTGCCTATTAATATAAACATGTTATTCATTGATTGAATATATGATTGTGAAAAAAACGCGCGGTAAAGAGATTCAACAAAGTTAATAGTCATCATCTCGCAATTATGTAGCCACGTGGCCACAGGTGGTTTACATGAAGTATCATTAGTATTCGTCTACTATAGCATACACACATTACGAAAGCAGGCAATGTAACAAATGTGGCGCACGATAAAAGATTCTGGACTAGTTAATGTATAATATTATTTTATAGTCGTTTGTGCAGAGATTAGACAAAATGCAAACCGAAATGCATAAATAATAAATAATTAAATGTATATATATAATGTAAAATAAATAAATTAAAATAATGTGAAATAAATATATATTGCGTCAAAAATTCGGAGCAACGTGGGGAAACCTTATTTCGCAAGACGCGATTCTCTGCGTAACGCGCATCCTTGACAGAAAAAAAAGCAGGTGCCATAATTCGCGTACGACACCCAGGCTGCGAATCGCGCAAGTCGGTGGAGAAAGCAATTTGTCGGGTTCGGCTTAACCGCGGCCGGACCGCTCTTAGCGAAACAGGCTTAATCAGCGTGGGGTGCGTGTGCGTTCAATGGGTGAGCGTGCACAGCCGGGTCAACCTTATAAGGTGCAAATATAGTTTCTTGCATAATTCGTGCCGAGCCGGCAGTTACGTCTCACTAGCACTAACAAAGCACGATTAAAGCCTCTTCGGGACAGGTGCTTTCCAATTATCTCACTCGACGATGATAAATGCTCGTATCGATTAGCGTAATCTCCACTGATTGTGTCATATCTCGAAACGGAGTAAAAGTCACGATGCTAAATATTGTGTTACGCATAGCAAAAATGAACCAACAGAATAAGTATAAAATTTATCTGAGAAGACATTAATGGAATATGTAAATATAAATTGTGAAATACAGAATTATAAGCTTTTAAATATAATTTTCGGATTTAGAAAATGTTTGAGACTATATTAATACGATTCTCACTTATTCGATGTAATTTATAGCTTCACAAATTTGTAAAGGATTTTAATTTTTTTCTGCGTTGCTTCCTCTTTAATTAGATAATGTATAGTCTTCGTTAAAGAATTACACTACCTTTGAGGTTTTAGAACGATACCTAAAGTTTGGGATTTTTTTGTGAGTAAATGGATAACTTTATTTGAAATCTGTTTAGAAAACATTGTTGTACATATATAAGAAACTAAAAAAATATTTTTTTATTTTTTATGTCCAAAATGACGGCGCACTGACCTACTTGCAAAATCCCTTTTTTTTTTATCGGTGTACAGGATTCCAGATACACGGTTTGACTTTGAACAAAACACAAAGAATTTTCATTATTTACATATTAAAGACTAAAGAGATACGTAGGGATTTTTCAAAATATTGATTTTTCTTAAAATGGCAGCTATTTTAGAAAAGACTTGTACTGGCAAAAAATACACATTTTTCGTAAAATAGCTGCTATTTTGAGAAAAATCAATATTTTAAAAAATCCTTATGTACATCTGTAGTTTTTAATATGTAGACAGTGAAAATTCTTTGTATTTTGTTCAAAGTCAAACTGTGTGCCTGCAATCGTGTTCACCGATTTCAAAATTTAGAAAAAAGGCATTCGGCCAGTAGGCCAGTGTGTCACCATTTTGAACATTAAAAAAATAAAAAAATATTTTTTTATTTTATTATATGTGTACAACAATGTCCTTAAAGTAATTTTTTAATAAAGTTATCTGTTTACCCAGAAAAAAATCCCAAACTTAGATATCATTTTAGGGCCTCCAAGGTGGTAACCCCTTAAGTCGATAGGAGCTTACAATCCAAAGCCTCCAAACTGCAATAAATATTTCATTACTGTGTGTACTCGTACAATGTATAAGTAACAAATAGGTAAGGATAATATCTTGCGCCGGCCGCAATATTAACGCGTCGTTATTAATTATTTGTCCATTAATAACCTAATCAATATTAATTACCGTGCGCACCGTCGATGCAATTATCATCTGTGAAACGTATGAAAACTTCTGTAATCGCCGGCGGTCTTATTGCACCTGCGACGTGTAATTACTTTCTACATACGTCGTCACGTCTCTACCGTTGAAGAACAACGGCGGCTCGGTAAGACTGACGAGCTATTGTAGAACGCCGACAAAAGTCCCCGGCCGTTGTAATACGTTGTTTTCGCTGCTTAACATGACAGAGCCGGTTCTTTCCAAGCCGGATCGGTATACGTGTGCGAACGGAAAACTCGTGCCTCTGCTTTTCAACCCCATGACATTTCCACGTGCGTTCAACCGATCGCGTGTTACATAGTAAGAAACTTGCAGTAACTCATCCGTTCGCCGCGGACGTATCATAAAAAGTACCACTTTCCTCCTCGTATTAGGCGTAACGGTATGTGAGCAATTACACTGCTTTGTGCGGCGATGGCATTGTAGTAAAAACGAGTTGCATCTAACAACAAATTGAAGAGATTTCCCAGAAACGACTGATTGGATCGACGTCGATGGCGTTGGTCCGTCAAAAAGTCGATTTGTTTAATTAATTTTCTATTTAGATTTTAAAAAGTAATTAGATTAATAGAAGTAATAAGATTGTGTTGAAAATTAAATAAGCATTAAATAAAAAAACATAGTAGAGACGTGGCATAAGATTTTGCGACACTTAAAGAAAAGTATTTTTATTTCTTGATCATTCGAATTCGAGAATCGATCAAAGCAACGTTGGTGAGCTGTCCTGATTCTACATATTTTGAAGTGCTGTTTTAAGTAATGACTTAGGGCCTAGGCGAAAGTAAAGGAGTCCAGTGACGAGTTCGTATTTCAGGAATTCGCGTGGGACGTCTTGGCATGTGTATAATTAAATAGAATCCAGTCTCTCTCGCGTATCGCGACGAATCTTTCTCGCAGCTGCCA